CTATGGACATTCAATTTCTTTCCATCATTTATATGGTATATAAAATTGTCTCTTTGAGGCAAAATCTTAGGTTTTTAAACAGAATTTTAAAAACTGTCTCATTCATTCAACAAATATTATTTATTGAGTTCCTCTACCAGAAACTAGGTCAAGTTAGGAAAACAAATGAAAACAAATAGTTCCTGTCCCCGAGGAGTTTTAAAAATCCTCAACATTTAATCTTTTCATTGCTTTTCAACATTTACTAAATCAGAGAAGAAAAAACAGAGCCCTTTAGAAGCAGACAAAGTGAGATGTGAGTCCTGGCTTTATTAAGGGGTAAAAGTAAGCAAGTCACTTATCGCCTCTGAGCACTGATCTCATCCTCTTAAAATGAGGATAGTATCATCCACCCGGAAGTGTTGCTATAAGTATAGAGTGTCAAGTATCGGCCTGACTTAAAGATAATCTATTATTTCTCATTTCTAAACAACCACTGAAAAACTCTGACCACTTTATATTAATAATGAATATCCCATCCTTCCAAAAATGCTATCTGAACTACATCATATATACAGGTAGGCATGCAAGAGATGCGAACATTTAACCTATTCATATCATATCATATGATAACAGGTTATCATATCATAACCTGTTCATATCATCTTATAAATATCCAATGTATCTCCAATTAATAAAAAGTCAAAATCCTTTTGGAAGAAATAACATCAAATAAGTCATATGTACAACGTTAAAGAGCCTCCCAAATAAGTATGCCATTTTTTCTCAAGCATACATGGCTTAGCAACTGTGAAGGCCTTCCACAGACCCAACTTAGGTTACTCAAGAAACTACTTATTAAGGCTGGAGTCCCTAGACTTTAACCTCAGAGGCTCGGTGGCTGCCATAAAGGGTAGTTTTAAGAACTGAGACTCTCCTTTCTGAAACAGAACAGCGCCATGAAAGTTTTTAGAGCAATAGTGGCTGACTTGTTAAAGATACCTAAGAAAAGAGCAAATCATCTTTTGAACCAAGTATAACTCTTCCATGAAACTTTCCTGCAATAAATAGGCACCTGACTTCCAACCCAGTGTTCTGCTCACAACAGCAAGCTTCCAATTCTATTCTAATAAAGGAATGGTTTATGCATGCTAAGACAAAAGAAAAACAGCTTTGAAAATATGTTTCAGTTATTACTTAGTGGGCTCTCAATAAATAAAATTTTAGACAATATGAAGAAAATCACAAGAATATTATTCTAAAAACTAAATAAGCATTACCAGCATACTGAATTGGAGGGACACAAAAAATTTCTGTGACTGCTTTTAAGTGACTTTTTAAAAAAAAGTTTCTAAAACAAAGCAAGACAATCAACAAACTTAGAGCTGAAAGAATTGATGATTTATCTGCCACCAAATGCGGGAATCCAATCCCAATCCCAATCCAATCCCAAAGAAAGGCAATGCCAAAGAATGTTCAAACTACTACACAATTGCACTCATCTCACACGCTAGCTAAGTAATGCTCAAAATCCTCCAAGCTAGGCTTTAACAGTAAGTGAACCATGAACTTCCAGATTTTCAAGCTGGATTTAGAAAAGGCAGAGGAACCAGAGATCAAATTGCGAACATCCGTTGGATCATCGAAAAAGCAAGAGAGTTACAGAAAAATATCTACTTCTGCTTTATTGACTATGCCAAAGCCTTTGACTGTGTGGATCACAATAAACTGTGGAAAATTTTGAAAGAGATGGGAATACCAGACCACCTGACCTGTCTCCTGAGAAACATGTATGCAGGTCAGGAAGCAACAGTTAGAACTGGACATGGAACAACAGACTGGTTCCAAATCAGCAAAGGAGAACATCAAGGCTGTATATTGTCACCCTGCTTATTTAACTATATGCAGAGTACATTATGCAAAATGCCAGGCTGGATGAAGCACAAGCTAGAATCAAGATTGCTGGGAGAAATATCAATAACCTCAGATATGCAGATGACCCCTCTTATGGCAGAAAGCGAAGAAGAACTAAAGAGCCTCTTGATGAAACTGAAAGAGGAGAGTGAAAAAGTTGGCTTAAAACTCAACAGTCAGAAAACTAAGATCATGGCATCTGGTCCCATCACTTCATGGGAAATAGATGGGAAAACAATGGAAACAGTGAGAGACTTTATTTTGGGGGACTCCAAAATCACTGCAAATGGTGACTGCAGCCATGAAATTAAAAGATGTTTGCTTCCTTAGAAGACAAGCTATGACCAACCTAGACAGCATATTAAAAAGTAGAGACATTACTTTACCAACAAAGGTCCGTCTAGTCAAAGCTATGGCTTTTCCAATAGTCATGTATGGATGTGAAAGTTGGACTGTAAAGAAAGCTGAGTGCCAAAGAATTGATGCTTTTGAACTGTGGTGTTGGAGAAGACTCTTGAGAGTCTCTTGGACTGCAAGGGTATCCAACCAGTCAATCCTAAAGGAAATCAGTCCTGAATATTCGTTGGAAGGACTGATGCTGAAGCTGAAACTCCAATACTCTGGCCACCTGATGCGAAGAACTGACTCATTGGAAAAGAGCCTGATGCTGGGAAAGATTGAAGGTGGGAGGAGAAGGGGACAACAGAGGATGAGATGGTTGAATGGCATCACTGACGTGAAGGACTTGAGTCTGAGTAGGCTCCGGGAGTTTGTGATGGACAGTCAAGCCTGGTGTGCTGCAGTCCATGGGGTCACAAAGAATCGGACACAACTGAGTGACTGGACTGAAACGCAGAAATTTTTTCTAGAACATTCTGACAACCAGCTCTGTTTGAATTTTTTCAGGAATACCAGTGCTTTTTCAAAGGAGTGTAGGACATCTCCATGATCACAAACCTTAGTATTTCAAATGAAACCAAACCAGCTTCACTGTAGATTTCTACCTATTAGAACCAGTTCTACCCTTCAGAACAATACTAAATTACTCTAATATCTTTCCATGTTTCATGTTCAGCTTTTCAAATATTTAATGCTAGTGATCAGTCTAGAAGTCCCCTTTGGTCTTCTTCTTGATAAATACAGTTAGAATATTACAAAGTACTTGCAAATAGCACACACAAATTATATTCAGCTAATATTTAGTTGAAAAAAAGGTTTATCAAGTCCCAAATATTGTGCTAGGTTCCGAGAGTACAAAAAAAAAAATGAGACTAATACTTGACTTAGAGGAGCTGATAATAATAGTGGGGGAAGAAAGCATATACAGAGGTAACTTTGACCTAATAACAGCAAGTGCTAAAAGAGTCAGGAACAATAACAGCTGCATACCAGCTTAGAGGACAAGGAAGCGATCAGGGCGAAGGATACTGAGAATACAGCAGCAGGCATTTACCATAGTCACAAATTTAGATCGAAATTCCTGAGCTGAAAATTCTACATAAAATACAAACTGTGATTGATGGTTCTTAGTAATCATACAGAGGGGCTTCCCTGGTGGTTCAGTGGTAAAGAATTCACCTGCCAATGCAAGAGACATGGGTTCGATCTCAGGGTCAGGAAGATCCCCTGGAGAAGGAAATGGCAACTCACTCAGTACTCCTTTCTGGGAAATTCCACAGACAGAGGAGCCTGGCAGGCCACAATCCATGGGGTCACAAAAGAGTTGGACACAATTTAGTGACTAAACAACAACAATCATAGGGAGAGGAAAATAAGGGATTATTTTCACATTAGCGACATTACCAGTACACATTTAAGCATACTAGCTAAAATAAAATATTCCAAAGTAGACCTTAAAGTCATGGCATTTTCTAGATTCATTAGTGAAAAGACAGTTTACTGATTTCTAATGTGAAGAGTAAAGTAGGTGTGTTAAAAAGGAAATTATTTGGTATGACATCCAAGAAAGCATTCTTCTTCTATATTATGTGTGTGTGTATATATATGTATATATATATGTATATTACCCTGAAAATTCAAAGAATTAAAACATGAATGTTCAGGATTTCCAAAACAAGGGCAAATACAATTTATTGCTGGAATGCTAATTTTTTCCTTGACCAAGAAATTAATTAAAGATGGAATTTTGTTGAACTTAATTAAATGAGGAATTTTGCTGAACTTAATGTAAACTGAAATACTAATAGCTCAGATCTCTTGAATATCAGTTAAATTTTATTAAAGCTATCATCTTCAAATTATTTTGAACTGTCACACATAACAAATAAGATTAAAATTTCCTCTGACCATACAATCTTGTGAAAGATCCAAAGTGCATATTAACTCTGTGTATTTAACTTCACCCTAAAAACATTTATTTAGCACTCCAGTAAATGGTAAAAGAAAATTAAGACATTGTTCAGCATGATGTAACTTCTTTACAGCATATAAAAATATGATTCCCACAGGATTTTGGATTTAAATGTTTAATACATTTAGTCAATAATGATCAATAATTAACAGTACTTTTTGTTTCTGTAGTTCTTGATACCAGATCATTTTTTTTTAATGGGAAAATAGGGAATTCCAAAAAATGTGAGAATACTTTTTATGTCTCAAGCTTGTTTATTTTGTACACCACATGGTCATTTTTGATTTCGTGCTTACAAAAGGAGATTGCCTTTCTACACATGACTGTTCACAGCCATGGAACATCCCTCCTTCTAAAGCAGTATACATACAGCGGGTGATCAGGACAAAAATAGAGGGGAAATACTGCAGAATCACCTGGAGAGTTTTCCCAAGCTGTACTTCATCACTGCCGCAACTACAGAAAGCCAGTGCTTCAGAGGTGTGTTACAGACTTAATAACAAGATTGAAAGCAGGGGTTTAGCTGCAATTGAATTTAGAAGCTACTGTCCTACAAGGGCTGCTAAAAAGGATCTCTTAAAAAAAGAAAGACTAATAGGTCAACACACAGGGCTTCTGGGACACCTATGTCTACAGAGGTTTAGGTTCCCAACTGGACCTGTAGCAAGCAAGAAACCAGAGGAGGAAATCATTTCCACCACGTCTAGGCATAAGCTGTGCACTTTCAATTGCTTACCTCCAATGTTCTGAATTATTATGGTGCTTGCCACCATCACCTATAAAAGAACAAATGTATTCAGAAGATGAAAGGGGAAATAATATAAAAGGATTGGTATTTTATTAAAATCCAATAACTATTACTTAAAAACAGATGCAGAAATTGAGTGAAGAGAAACTGAAAAGAACATATTCTGCCAGCCATTTGTAATATATAAAACTAATAATCATCACATAAAAAGCCTTTCTTTAATAGTTCCATGGTTACTATAAAGCACACTTTTGTAAGTTTCCTTGGCAGCCATTTTTAAAACAGTTAAAAGTGTTAAAAAGCTAGGGAATCGACGGTTATCAAAGTACCAAAGAATTGAAATTGAATCTATTTGGTCTCCTTTCTTTTATTTGGTTTTTTTTTTTAACTGGTTATATCACATTGCTCTGCTAGGCATACTGAGACAAGGTGTGTTGTGCCAATGCTGTATTGTATAAAAGGAAACATAACCTTCAGAGGGTATCAGCTTGGCAAACACCAAGCCTTGAACATGGGAGCCTTGTTGCAGGGATAAATAAATTCTAGAGCAGAAAACTCTAGAGCCCACATATCTGAAAACCGAAGCATTTCAAACTCAGTAACATGCAGTGGGCTGAGTATAAGACAATAGGAGGTAGTGAAGACTGCAATATATTGGAGAATTTCTCCTCTTTCAAAATGGGGCAGCTGTTATGCAGTTCTGGCCAGTTGCTGACATATGAGAATGTGAATCCAATGTAGCTGGATCTTCTGATTTTTCAAGGAAAGTCAGAAACTGAATTCTTTCAAAATGTCATAACTCTTGGTTGGCAATCAGCTAAAAATAAAAAAAGATTTGAGCCAAACAAAACACGCCTGAGGACTAAGTTCAGCCTGCAGGCCTGCTAACTTGTGATCTTTGATGGGATTCCTGGGAAATACAAGACGGCACTTTATCCATTCTTGGTCATCAGATGCACTCAGAAGAAATGATTAAACATTCTTCTTCCACTTGGGCCTTTCAATCACTTAAATCTTGGTGAATCTGTACCTCCAATGTATATCTGGAGCTGACTAGCTATCTAAGATCATTCAGTCGTACATGGACTGGGAAGAGATCACCCTTCTTCTAGGAATTCCATTTGCCTATCCTGGAAACAAACTAAGTTATCAAGACATAGAGGTCTTGGAAAGCAGGGCTAATGATAGAAACATCTGGCAAGATGTCTTTGAAGATATAATTGTCATTCTAACATTTTCCAGAAAAACCTTTACATGTCAACCCATTTAAAAATTAGTTCCAAAATGTCACTCACAGTCATCTGTGAAAAGACCTTTCTGAAATTTCTGTACACTGTCTTTCATATGCAATTGATATTTGTTGTCAATCACACATGAAATTTGGATTTTTCTATGAATATACTGCAAAAAGCAATAAAATCAATGTATTGATGAGTTATTTTCCCATTTTCTGGCTCAACTGAAGCATTTTTGATCTAGAAAGTCAATATATCTACCCATCTACCCATCTTTCTAGTGCCTAGTACAGTGCATGGCCACATGGTATTTGCTCAATAAATATTTGGCAAGTACATAAATCCATATAGGCAATTAAAACATTTTTCTTAAAAAGTTCAAATCACTTCAAAAATATTTAATTTCAGAATAATGTTACCCTATCATGTCATATCTATATTCATATATCTGGGAAGAAGGAAATAGGAAGGTTTCAACCCACCTCTGGAAGTTGAGAGAAAATATTAAACAAACAAACAAATAACTCTTCACTTAAAGTACTCTCTGTCTGTGTATCCACCTGCTAAGAACTGTGTGCATACACTAAAATGGTAATGCAGCTACTTGAGAGTATAGGAAGAGGGAACTTTCAATAATCCATGTTCTTGTAGACTCTGCTGCTGTCCAAGGAATGAAGGAAATACTAACGTGAAATAACAGTGATGATGCTCAGTCATGTCCACAGATTGTATTAAATTAATTAGAGAGTTTTTTTATATAAATAACATTTCCTTCTTCTCCCTTGGTTAAACTGGATGCAGGAAATTGATCCTAATTATAACAAACATCCTGATCTTCAAGAAAAATTGTTACCAAGGATGATTAACAAAAATCTTTACCCTCAAAAGTAACATAGTCTCCGTTGAGTTCAAATTTCAGGCTATAAGGATCAAAATCATGAGATGATATAACATGATTTAAATATTCTCTTTTGCACTTTAAATACAAAGTTAATTTGAATGCAAATACACATCTCCCGCCCCTCATTACACAGCTGTATCTTTTTCCTTTCAGACGTAATTCTTAAAAGTTAGTTCAGCCATCAACAAAATAGTATCCTTTTAGTTTAAAAATAAATAAAAAACACAAACAACAGATTTACAAAATGAAAAGAAAAAGCTCTGTTTGGAATCAACATAAAAATGGGTTTTAGAAGTACAATAGCTCTTCAGAAATAAAAAATAATTATTAAAACACTAACAATAATATTTAATTCCAGATTATCTGTGGAAGAAGACAGGTAATTAGTTTAACTAAACTACTTTAGCATGCCCACCGCAAGTGAATGCCCCATAAATACTGTTGTTATTTCTCTTATTCTGGGGAGGAAAAGTAATAGATTTTGAGTCTGGAGTCCTATGGTTCCATACTGGCTTAAGTAATTGTAGACAAATAGGCCCCTTCCCTTCTCTGGGCCTTAATTTCCTCACTTACAAATGAAGGATCATCTTTTAGTACTATTCACTTCTTAAATGACATGATCTTCTAATTATCAATTTTATAAACATGCTATAAGTTTAATTCTATGCATCTGTCTTCTTCAGTCTTCATGATAATTCAAACATAATCTAATCAAAATTAATTACAAAATGTTAAAACAGGCCATTGTTACTGATTTAAAATTTTAAGTCACTGCCCTCCTTCATTAGAGTAAAAAACACAAAAAAATTTAAGTGTTGAATTATATTTATCAATGCATTTTTAGAAAGGTCATAGAGATTTCTTCTTTTCTTCCTGCTCCCATCATTTCCTTTCTTCACTTTAGTTTCCTTTTATTCCCTTAATTTCTTCCTCCTATATCTTTTCTAACTGGAAATGGAAGGGAAAAACTGCCTTACAGGATTTTGAATACAGCAGGGAGAAAAAAAAAATTACCTTTCCAGGTAATCCAAATGCAAAGAGTCCAAGATCTTCATAAGATGTCACAGCTGTTGAGAGAAATTATAATTGTTATTTTTACACGATACTATCTGTGTGCCAAGTCTTACACAGAAGAAAGCTATTCCACTCCTACCTACAGCTATTTGATGTGCTGTGTGCTGTGTTTAGTCGCTCAGTCATGTTCGAATCTGCGACCCCACGGACTGTGGCCCGCCATGGGGATTCTGGGGACTGTAGCCCGCCACGCCCACCTCTAGGGGATCTTTCCAGCCCAGGGATCAAACCCAGGTCTCCTGCATTGCAGGTGGATTCTTTACCAGCTGAGCCACCAGGGAAACCCAGCTATTCAACAATCACATTAAATTTAAAGCAGAAGTATTGACTTGGGGGAAGTTGAAAACTTATGATCCATAAAGATAATGTCCTTTTATAGAGCTTAGCAATTCCCAAGGTTGTCTAACTACCCAGGTTCCATTAATTCAAATAATAATTACTCAAGAACAACCCACTTCTCACTGAACAGCACTCACAGACTACATTGTCCAAATACAAATTTTCATTGACAAGTTTCTAAAAACTGTCTATGTAAATAAAGTTTAATAAAGTATAAAAGCTATATCATACTTTCAGAGACATTCACTTTTCCAGGCTACCTAGGATATAATGTATTCAGATAGAAACAATACCCTCATCCTGCGATAAGGGAATATATTTTCTTTCTCATCATAGAGAGTATGAAATTACATTTTCATTCCACATGTTCTAGAAGTGTGATCACAGAAAAGATAAAAATTAAATGGCCCATAAAAGAACCAAATTTGTCCTTAAATGGAAGTTTCATGTTAAAATTAGTGATACCAGAGGTAAAAATAAGAGAATTAAAAACATTTATATAATCCTAAATCAAAGCTATGGTTTTTCCAGTAGTCATGTATGGATGTAAGAGTTGGACCATCAAGAAGGCTGAGTGCCAAAAATTGATGCTTTCAAATTGCAGTGCTAGAGAAGACTCGAGAGAGTCCCTTGGACTGCAAGGAGATCAAATCAGTGAATCCTAAAGGAAATCAACCCTGAATATTCATTGGAAGGACTGAAGCTGAAGCTCCAATACTTTGGCCACCTGATGCAAAGAGCAGACTTATTGGAAAAGACCCTGATGCTTAGAAAGATTGAGGGCAAGAGGAGAAGGGGTGGCAGAGAATGAGATGATTAGATAGCACCACTAACTCAGTGCACACAAATGTGAGCATACTCTGTGAGACAGTGAAGGACAGGGAAGCCTGGCGTGCTACAGTTAGCTCGTGGGGTTGAGGGAGTCAGACACAACTTAGTGGCTGAACAGCAAAGTTTGAGAAGCCCTTAACTTTACAGTGCTTATGCCATAAAAAAGGCAGGTTAGCAGGTACTAAGACTTGATAATAGCAACACAATTTCAAGATACACATGGGTTTCTTTGAGCTATCACAATATTAACAAAAAACTCCTGTATACTTTCATCTTTTAGCACTGTTTAGCTCTTAAGTGACACGATCTTCTAATCAGTTTTTTAAACATGCTATAAGGTGAACAAAGTTCATCAAGTATGAAAACATAAGCATTTTGAAAACCATATGTGGTCTTTACATGTTATAACTACAAAGTTAGAAAGAAAACAGTGAAATGCTTAAGAAAATAAGTTTTACTTAAGAATAAAAATTTTTAACACTTTTTTATTATCAGGGTTGCTCAAAGAATTTAGAACTTTTTGCGTGACATACTTATTTTTAATTTAAAAAAATTTTTATTTAATATTTTAATTTTTTTTAGCTGGGTCATGTGGCATGAAGGATCTTAGCTCCCTGACCAGGGATCAAAGTGTTGCCCTCTGCATTGGGAGCATGGAGTATTAACCACTGGGACCACAGGGGAAGTCCCAGACACAGCTATTTTTTTAAAATGTATTTACACACTGCTCAACAGTGGGCAAGGACAATTTAATTTGGAATACATAATTTAATTACAAGTAGGAACCTTCATGCTTTAACAATGAAAGATTTCCTAGAATAATTTCCTAGAATAATCTTAGAGGGGCAGATTGTAGGCATATTTTAAACATAAAATTTTTTTTAAAAAGTTAAAAAACTGAGATCTGGAATTTTTTCCTCTACTTGAAATGCCCAAATTTTATTTTTCCAAATGCATATGTTCTAAAGTGAATGTCATCACAAAAATTAATAATTATTTCAACCAATAAATCTTTACAAGTTTGTTTCAAAGTTCCTAAACATAATTAAGTAATAATGTTATTTATAGGGATACAATTTAACATTCCAAAGACTTGGTTCTATATATTCAACCAGAAAAAGCTCTAAATATTAGCTTCTAATTTGACATTGGGAAGGGAATTTTGTTACATACTATGTGTATGTGAACCAAATCTTCAGGAGGTCTCTGATTTGTCACTATGAAGCATGAGATTAAAAGAACATCATTGAAAAAAATAATAAAGGAACATCATTGTTCATTTTCAGCATCTCTCTTTCATATTACAGTTGAAAGTGTTATTTAAAAAAACTTTCCTTCCAAGGGCTTAAAGCAAGGAAGCTTTCAGTGTTATACATGGAAATACATCACATAACTTGCTTTAAAAATTGCCTATTTTGCATTAGTTTCTTTGTCAGGGAGCAAGTTTTCAAGATAATACTCTTCAAAAAATGTGGCTAGGATTTGTTTCACTTTTAAATAGGAGAAAACAAGTATGGCAAGATTACTGAATCAGGTTGCCATTTGCTACTCCAGGGGATCTTCTCAACTCAGGGATAGAACCCACTTCTCTTTTCCTCTATTGCACTGGCAGGTGGATTCTTTACCACTGTGCCACTTAGAGAGCCCCATAAATTGTATATTAGTAGACATGAGAAGCAAGTAACTTTTCATGAGAAGAAAAGGAAGAGAGGGTGACAGGTATGGAGAGAGTAACATGGAAACATCCATTACCATACGTAAAATAGATAGCCAGTGGGAATTTGTTGTATGACTCAGAAAATTCAAATGGGGCTGGATGACAACCTAGAGGGGTGGGATGGGGAGGGAGGTGGGAGGGATGTTCAAGTGGGAGGGAACATGGGTAAACCTATGGCTGATTCACATTGATGTTTGGTAGAAACCAATGCAATACTGTAAAGCAATTATCCTTCTATTAAAAATAAATAAATAAATAAATAAAAATTTTTTAAAAAGCAAGTAACTTTGCTGTAGGCAAAAATAATACTGAAATAATCCAAAAAGAACTGATATTTCAATTACCTAAATTTAAACAAATAAAACACTTAGTCTTAATCTTTAAATTAGAACATTACTCCAGAAAATATAACCACACTAACAGCTTAATGAAGATAGCTGTAACTGCAACTTCAGACAACAGTGGCATACATCTTAGCAATCTCAAATTAATTCTGTTATTTTCTAGTTTTTTAAAAATATCTCTAAATACAGCAGAGCCCCAAATTCAGAGTGAAAAAAGGTTTAGACTTTTAAACAGAGACTATTATGTTCAAATCCTAATTCTATTTTTCAAGTCAGCAGATCTGGCTAGTCATTCAGTTCCGTAACTGTCATCTTACTTCTTTTATGTTGCAAAAATTAGAAGTACTTTTCCATGTCTGAGACATCATGAGTATGAATAATGGCTTCTGGCCTAATATTAAGGCATTGCTAAAATAAAATATGTACGTAGTCAGCCAAATGCTTTATCTCCACATTCACTTTTTAACAGTTTTTTGTATCATTTTGACACATAAACCAAAACAATAGTGAAATACTTTTAAAATTCTGTTCTATCATTTGGACAATTAAGTGTACATTGGAACTGACTTCAGAATGTAATCTCAACAATGAACCTTGAAAATATTTACAATATTTGACCCCTGGGAGCGTGCATCTTAGGAAATAAAGCTAAAATCAGAGAAATCACCGTATGCAAAGATACTCATTATGCATTATTACATTGAACACAAAGAGTACCTAAATGCTCAATGGTGCTAAACTTGCTAAGTAAATTATGGTAGGTATATCTAGGAGAATAATATGCAGCCATTAAAAGCTATGTTTATAATAAGATGAAAAATGTCAACATTAAGTGAAAAACAAAAGGTTTTATCAAATATGATTTATAAAGCAAAACATACGATCAGTATTTTAATACCTTATTTATAATGTTAAAGATGCTTTGAGAGCTATCAAAACAAGATATGGTAAAGACCAGTTACGCTAATAGCAAATTCTTACAGAAGAGGAATAACATTAATTATGAAAATTATGAAATTAATTCAGCCTTTTATAGGAATTCAAACAAGCAATACTTGGCACAATCCTCTCTAAATAAATAACTGAAAGCAGTTACTAGCAATCTATTTTAGGAAATTAGTTTTTTATATTAAAGAAATCAATGCTATGTCTTTGAGGGGGCAGAAAGGCTGTAAATCTGAATCAAGTAAATTGGGGAAAATTTTCTTCTTTAATGTACCATCAAGGCACACTTTTAGTGCTATTTTGGCTAGACCAAGAGTTTGGCCTCCACAGGAATCATTTGGAAAGCTGCTTCCCATGAAGCTGTGGAATATTTCCAGCTAGTTACTCCAGTGTTCTGTCTGCTTTGCATTTTTTCCTCAATGAAATAGGACAATTAATAAACTCTGGTTACAGTACAAAGCCCAAGTTTCAGCAGCGGCAATATTATCTTTGGAACTGGATTGAGGGACATGAGTTATTCAAATACAGTTCAACCCTCAGAAAGCAGGCCACTTGGAATGCACTCTTATTTTGAAATTCTTTTCTTTCTTATGCTTTCCTTCATTTTCCTCCTGTCTTTTTTCTCCCTAACAGTGTCACGCAGGCCACTCATTTATCAAATATCTCCTATGCAACTGTGCCACCACTTCTGATCTTTCTTAATGTGTATTTAAATATCAGTTTGCCAACTAAACGTGGCATGATTTTAGAGCACTCATAGTAAAAGAAAATAAAATGCGAGAGTACAAAGAACATACTCCTTTCAGGGTCACAGAAG